TGCTGTAAGGATCAACTGGCATCGGCTCAGCGTCGTTCAAAATAATGCCCTCACTTTCCATGAATTTCTGTTTAGACATAGACAGGGTGTATTTTCAACAACTGACGGGTACATATTAAACATACTGTAAAAAAATAAAGATCAATCAAACAGGTTGTACCATTGTAAACTCATCGCAATTTGTGATGTGGTACTTGTGCCCATACACCACCAGGTCTATGCCAAGGTTGAGGTCTTTATACTCGTAATGCTCTCCTCGTTCATTCTTGGGCACACGCTGTCGTTTCAACCGTTTCCCCTGCGATAACCCAGAGTTCTCCACTATGGGSTCATAGATGTACATGCTKTCATCCTCTAGGTAGTAGTATATAATYACAGGGCGKACAYGGTACACCTCGTCAGGGGAAAACTGGACATCCTCCTTAAAGTATGCATAGAAGCGCAGCACCTACAAGACAAAAGTTTGGTGAGCAGACAAACAAGGGATTAATTAGTCAGGTTACACAGCAACAAACACCATCAAACACTATTCTAAGTCTTCAAAGTTGTASCATACCTTCTTGTCTAAGGTCACGTAAGCTGGTACGAATTGTTTAAGCGGGCTCTTGTATGAGGAGCCATGAGTCATGTCCGGTGTTTTGAAGGTCCGCTTGTTGATCTCCTGCTGGATCACTTGCTCTGACAGAAGAGGATCCTGCCCAACGCCAACAGTGGGGTCACGGGGCAGAGCGAAGCCGTTCTTGTACGTGAGAGTCTGTGATCGATGGAAGGCAGACTTCTGCAGAGAATGATCATTAAGAAGTACATGCGTTAGATTTTTTAAATCCKGTAAATAGATATAAATCAATTCAAGAATCCAATTAAATTGAAGTCCAATTAACATGGTATGTGATCCTATTGTTACAATACATACAACAGCACTAAACTACATAAAAACCTGTCTGACACACAACCAAAGGAGTGGACAGAAAAGAACCAGTACAAGATAAATAATTTGAATATAATATTTTTCATGTTTACTAGTAAACGTCTCTACCTGACAACACTGCAACAGAGAATTTTAGCTTGGTCATTTGYATAGAAACTTTTGTTTCAGATCCCTCTGTCAACTCTGCAGTTGATAGAAAGTTAAAATTTATATATTCAAATTTGCTTAAACTGGAGGAATGCAGAAAGTAAACTGTAAATATTATATAACTTCAGTTTTGCTAACTGTACTGAAACATTAAACCCTCATGTTATGTAAACTTAAATACGCTTTAAATTAAAAATGATAGCTAGTTTCACTTTAGCATAAAAAACGTACATACCGTGATATCTTGAAAGGTGTATCCAGGTAAGAACGGTAATCTGTGGCTGTTATTGTTCCAAGACATTGCCCCAATCAAATCTTTCCTAGTGTTCTTATTCTTGTTTCTYCTCTACAACCTGATAAACAACATAATTTACATTTAAYGTTTATTGTAACCAAATGATCACAATTGCAGCCATGGAAGTTAATTGCATAGTCAGACATGACAGTATGGTGATCGTAGGCAATACTATAATATTGACTCTGATTTTTACATTTGCTATGTTTGTTATTCATGTTTAGGCAATATTTGGAAATTAGACTGTAACTAACAAGATATATGGATGGGTTTCAAAYTAAGTAAAGAAAAAAATGTTTTCCCCCATCATCCATATGGCCCCAGTTAATAAGCAATCGTGTCTGTAGGGGGCAGCTTATGCATGTTTAAAATATACTTCTTTTTCAGATACCTTTTTCCTCTGGCGAAAAGGTGACTGCAGCTCGTGGTTTATAACTAAAAGTGTCTTTCTGCTTCAAAATACCTTCCTCTTCATCTTTGTTCTCTTTTTTTGTGGGTGGCAACAAACATTAAAGGGCATTTCCACCATAGCTCACTTGTACTTCATAGGTATAAAGGGTGAAATACCTTTGATCTTTTTTATTTAAATGCTACATTTTTACACTTAATAACTGTCCTTCAGAGGCATTCTTTTACATTCTATTTGTCCTTCCCTTTGAAGTCACTGTCTGATGTCTTTAATMGTTTTCTTTTCCAAAAACCCGAACGGACTGTGTTTGATCCATAGACTGTATGTAAAAAGGTTTGATCATTGGAATCTGAAGGAGACAGGATTGGGCGAAAGAATTTAGTATGACCTACATAACTCTGCTAAATATAACAACACATTAGGTAGCGGTAATGCACCTTGACTTTGATTGCCATCACCAATAAACCTAACAAAGAAGAAAATTGATTATTCATTACTTCACATTACATTGTGAAATGTCAAAGAGAAGTACAACAATAGATGGTGGTAATGAATCCCACCAATAAACYGAACAAAGAAGAAGAAGTGCTCAATCAATTGCTCAGGCTAGCCTAACCTCACACTGTGGAGTTTGCGGAAGTTGTCAATATCATTGGACAAATACCTCTTCA